CTTTGAAGAGTGTAGATGTAGATATGTCAAACTCAGCAAATTAATTAGGAGAGTAGAGTCTGTTCTGATTTGACTCTTGAAACATATCACAAGGAGGATTTATCCTAATTCCTATCATGTCTCCACATCTAATCAAATCTCGAATAAGGCAATTTGAAGCATATCATGTGTAGATGTTTAACAACCTATTGTTCAATCTTAGTTGGCTCCACTAATTTCTTGTTAAAATTTCAACTTCCCTTCTGTGGAAAGAAATCTTCATCATATTTAACTTCTAACCTTGGGGTCGAAGAAGTCAAACTTCATTTTGGGTCCATAAATGGAAATGCCATATGATTGCAACATTGGTTCAACATCATAACTGGTTCGTAAAACATTTGACAACATATTCATCATTTCTTGTGGTTTTTACACAGATGTTTCTGCACATTCATCATTAACTAACAAAAGTATAAGGACTAAATCTATTATTTATCCTAAAATATATAAATACTGGTATGGACTAATTTATAAATTAATAAAGTTAGAAGACCGAATTAAAACTTATTAAAATTGATTTCAGTGACTAATTTGTAATGTTACAAAATAGAGGGTACTGCGGAAAGGGTTTAGCCAGTGGTGAAATTACGCACATATCCCTCCCCAAAATGACGTCGTTCAGGGAGGGGTATAAATGGCCCAAAATCCGGCCATTTAGGCCATCTCCCTCATTTTTCCTATTTTGCTTCTCTCTCTAAGAGAGAGAAACTCTGCCTTCTCTCTACAAATTCCCTCGCCGGAGGGAGTCGGCTAAAATACACCAAAATAAAACTGTGAACACTCTAATACCGATTCCAACCTCATTTTCCCCTAAAAAGCTCCAAAATTACCTAGATCTACGGAAATACGTTCAGTATTTCGGTTTCCTTCGGTGGTGAGTGAAGGCACGTAGGAGCTCTGGTTGCTGTTGCTTCCTCTTTAAGCCTCTTTCTTATTTTTTTTATTTTGTGGTTGTTGTGCTATTGTGGATCTTTCTCGTTTTCTCCGTTGGTGTTAGTCTGGCTTGCTGGATTGCTGTTGTGGTTTCTGTCTTGTGTGGCTCTTTTTTTTATATTTTCTCTCTGTTGGTGTCTCTCGGTGGCTGTCGTGTTTTTTTTCATCTCGCAGTTGGGGTAAGGCTTTATAACTACCCTGGTGATGGCCTCAGGCTAGTCCAAAAGGGGCTCTTTAATGAGTCACCGGACTATGGTGGTGACTCACCATAGAGTTGCAACGTGGAGGGGCAGCTGGATCTTCTGGTGCGTTTTGGCGAAGCGGTGGCAGCAGCTTCCTGAGGCGGCGGGGTGGTGGCAGTAAGGGAAGCGACGACGTGGCCCTAGGGTGATGATATCCTAGGGTTTCCTCTGGAGGCTTATGGACCGTTGGATATTGTCAGATCCAACGATTGAGATTGAGGCGGCTAGTTGCTGAGATGATGAAACCCTTGTTGGGTTTAGGGTTTCCTGCTATTGGGCCAGAACTGGGCTCTGGGATTTTGGGCCTGTAATATGTAATAATAATATTTAGTAATAATAAAAATATAATGATAATAATAATAATAATAATAATAACAATTATAATTATAATAATAAAAATAAAACAGGCCAAAAATTTAGTGTCTACAGCTCCCTTATGGGGCGTTTGGTTCAGGTCATATTGGATTACTGGATATAATGAAATGTCATTCCCTTGTTTAGTTGGCAAACATTCTCAACCCCTTCCCTTAAGTATTGTTACATTCCTGGCGTTTTGGATTAAAATGCTCTTAGTTTTTTTTTCAAAAAATATCCTTCTTCTGTCGTTGAATAATTTTTTTTACAAATGTTAAATTATAAATTTATCCTTAAACTATTTTAGATTTACAAAAAAAAATCAATAATTAGAATTTTATATGAAGTTCAAGGATTAAAATAAAATTTTACCCTTTTATTAAACTTATTTATCTTTTCAATTTTGTAAAAATATTATATAAATTTTATAAATTTAAATTTTTTAAAGAAAATATATAAATTAATTATAGTAAAATTCAACTTGTTAAAAAACAAATATATAATAATAAAAATTTGGTAAAATATACATTCCAATAATCTTTTATTCATTTAATCAAACACTGTAATCTTACACTCATGCTAAACGAACCAAAGACAACAATGCAACATTCTCAGTAATCTTATTTCCGTCGATTTTTCTATCATCGTCGATAATCTTACATTCTATGAACCAAACACACCCTTAAATAACTTAGTACACCCACTCCTGATAGTAATTTTCAGGTCTTTATTTTTATCTTTCTTTCTCTCGAACTTATTCAAAGAGATTTTTTTAGGCGGTGGTATTGCTTTAATGGCGTTAATATATGTTGGTAAATTTATTGTCATAAAATAAAAAAGAAATGTGAACAATGATTATTACAGATAATAAAGACAAAAATAATATAATTATCGTGTTAAAATAATTTATTGATATAAAATAAATTTGTTCATATTTATATAATTAAAAGTGAATATTATATCCCAAGTGATGCATTATTTTTAAATTTATATATTTGAATTAAAAAATTAAAGTTCAAAGAGCATTGCTTGCTCTTTCCAAAAGAAAGAAATTATGAAAGCATATAGAAAAAAACTCGAGAGCGCAGAAAAAAATTGAAGTGGAGAGGAATAAGAAAATTGTGCTGTATATAAAATAGTGAGGAGACTTTTTTCATAAAGAAATGGAAGGTCAAAAGTAGTTAAAAAATAATTTCTTTAAAATAATAATAAAATAATTTTTATTTAATTTTTAACTATTAATAACACATCCATATCATACCTATTATCATTCATCATGCGTATAGCATATAATCATACCAAGAGTTAATATGGTTTATTAAAAAGGCTTATTACTAACATAAGTATTAAAATTATATTGTTTTTTTATGAATATGTGTCTAAACTATTTTTTTGACTTATCTAAGTGTCTAACGTTACAAACGTTATCATTTTAAGTACATCAGGCATAACGACTGTTATAAAATCCCGTTAAATGAAATGTGTCACATTTTTAAAATTTTAAAATTTTTATTTTTCTTAAAAAATATTATTAAAAAAAACTCACGTGCATGCCCCCTCCCTTTCCTTGCATGATTTCAGTTTCCCATGGCCAAACGGCAAAAAGTTCAAACGACCGATTAAATGGCAGACCAAATAGTTAAGGGGTTGCTGCCACAACCGGATAAATAGTCAGTAATCACGATCGACCAAAGGAATTTAAGGGATTGGTTATTTTGTATTTTAGGGTTTATGGATTAAAGTTAAGGGATTTGGAAGTTTTGGATTTTGTGATGATAGCAAGGGTTATGACCGATCACTGGGTGGTCGGCGATGTATGGGTGGCCAGTCGCCAGCGAATAGGTGGCCGGAGATGACCGACAGTTCGAGTAAAGGGGACTAAGATAAGAGATTTATGGAGTTTGGTTTTTTTTTGGTTTTTTTTTATATTTTAAAAAACATTGAGGCTTTTTCAAAAATAAATTTTTTTAAGTTTTTTTTTTTAAAAAAAAAATCTAAAATGATCATGTTTGGGCATATGTCACTTAATAGATCTTTTTAACGGTCATTAAAACTGAGACACCTAAAGTGATAAAGTTTGGAACGTTAGGTACCATGGATGTAAGGTATTCAAATTCATATACCCACATATTTTTGTACCCAAGACTCTCAGGTCACAAAAATTCGGCTCATGACTCAGCCCATAAGAGGCGGGTACCCGTAAGTCAGGAACCAATAAAATTTGTGTACCATCATTTTTGGGTAACGACAGTTAATATTTATTTTATTTGTTAAATTTATAGTAATTTTTTTAAAAAAAAAAATCCATGTTGAAAAAACATAAAAATTAAAAGTTTATAATACTTATCATAAACATAAAATTTATAAATTCAAATTATATAATTTAAAATAAAATTTAAAAGTATAAAAATATAAAACAAAATTATAAAATTACATCTAAATTTAAAATAATTTAAGATTAAAATAAATAATTTAAGAAATAATTTAAATATTATGGTTAAATGATTTGAAAAAAATAGAAAATTTTAAGGGTGATTTGAAATCTAATTTGAAATAAAAATAGTACTAAAATAAAAAGGGAAATTGGGTTGGCAGATACTCAATTAAGGGTAATTTTGTGATCCAGGCTCGACATGAAAACTCGCAAAAAATAACAAGTTGGGTACCTGGCCAGCAAAACGAGGTAATTTTATATTGGACACCTATGTGAAAAATAGTATAGTTTAGACACTTATTTTGATATTAGGCCTTATTAAAAAGAATAATATGTTATCGACAATGGGTTAATTCAATGAGACAGTGTACTAGAATTTAGATTTTTTTAAGTAAGGTTAAAAGTTTGAATCCTAATGTTTACGAGTAGAATAAACAAATTTGAAAGGGTCGCATTAGTCTCGATGGTACTCAATCTTAGTTGATTAATAAATTAAATATTGATGATTATAAAAAAAGTAATTAATGTGATTATATAATTATGTATCATCACATCACTTAAACTTATTAATAATGACCAATAAAAAGTTATCACATCATCGTACAATTATATGTTTTTAGATTATATTATGAAATTGAAAATAAAATCTTAATTAAAATATAAGAATTGTCAAGGGTTAAGCATAACTTGAAGTTCTATACAACACACAACATATGTAGCAATAATGACAAGGACACATAATAAATAAAATAAAGGCCGTTTGATCTGAATGAGATGTGATCCGGTTTTGTCTGCCAAACTAACATGGGGGGAGAGCTTTTTTTCAGACAAATCCCCAATCCCAGACATCATCTTCTTCTTTCCCCCTAACCTAACCTAACCTAACCTAACCTAACCTAACCTAACCTAACCTAACGGCTACATTGTATAAACTATTCAAACCCAACGGTTCATTTCCATTCTCCCCCGCATAATTTTTTGGATGTTTCTCTGTAAACCTACAAAAACAAAGGCAGCCCTGCTTCCCCTTTCACCATTCATATTTAATATTCTCCATCCATTTCTCCCCATCTAAACCCAAAAACTCTTGCTTCTAACAATGGAAACTGCTACAGCTAATGATAATGGGGATCCCAGTGATGTTCAAGTTCAACATGTAACTAAGAAGTCATCCGATGAGTTGCTGAGGAAGTTCGCGGAACTCGAAGAAGACGGCGACGGTGATAAGGGGGCGGCGTTGAGAAGAGAGTTAAGGCTAATGGCGGCGAAACGAAGGAAGAGGAGTGGATCGGCCAGGTCCAGAAGGGAATCGTCGGACAGTCCTTCCAACAATGGGTTAGTTGAGCGGAAATGGCTACTTCCTCCGGCGGCGGCGACACGGCGCTCCACCTTGCTTAAACAGCTGAGGTCGCAGTTAAGAGGCAGGGAGATTGGGAACAGGTCCATCTTTGGCACCATTGAGAAGGTAGTTTTTATAAATTTGATCTGGATAAAATCTGTTAACCCCTTGCTGACGAAAATTCCATGATTGTGATGCAGACATGGCGTAAAACTATAGAAGGAGCATCCAGAGTTTTCATGGACAAACATTATAACAGGCATAGGCGATTGATTAATGATGTTGTCTAGGCCTCTGCAATGCAATTTGTATATTGCCAATCATCAAAACCATATGTATTTCTATTTATTCTCGTTCAATTCATTTATTTATGTTATCAAAGAATTCAATGATTTAAGGATGGTCATTTTACTTGGATTTTTAGTTAAACTTGGATGGATCGATTTTTTATTTAGAAAATTTGGGTTCAATTTGAACTGATTCGAGTTTAAGTTGAAAAAAAAAATCTTATCCAAACTAAACAGATATAATATTGTAGGTATCATTTATGTATTTATAAATAATTATAACAATATCTATTTTTATTTTATTTTTTAATTAAATTCTTTTTTGCCAAAAATGAGTATGTATACAAGTTGGGTCAAGTAGAAATTTTAACTTAAAATATCAAGTCAAGTTTTAAATCGGGTTGGATCCGTCTTGACCCAAGTTGGATCGAGTCCTTAGAAAAACTTTTAAATTTTAAATTAAATTTAAATAGACCAAAATTTTAACAGAATTTGATTCAACTCATTACGATCTCTATACTCATTTCTCAACAAGGTCGGCCTTGAATTTTTAAATATACTATACTCGTAAAAAATTGGTTTTATATCAATTACATGGTCTAATTATTTTTAATACTTGTTATTAAGGGTTTACTATTTTTAATATTTATTATTATAAGCTCAATTTTTTCTAATATTTATTATTACGGGTCTACTCTTATAATTTATTTATTTTTCTAATATTTATATAATTGTACAATTTTTCCAATATTTTTTCTAACATTTATTATTAAGGGTCCAATTTTTTCAATACTTATTATTAGTGGCCTAATTTTTCAATATTTATTATTAATGGCGTAATTTTAAAATTTAATTTCTTTTATAATATTTATTGTTATTATAAGTCCAATTTTCGTACTTTATTAGATGCCTATTTTTTTCCCAATATTGGTTATTATAAACATACTCTTAATTTTTTTTAATATTTGTTATTAGGTACCTGTTTTTTTAAATACTTGTCATTATGGAACTATCCTTACAAAAATTTAACACTTCTAATTAGGAATAATTATTTAAATAATGGTTTGTAACCACAACAATGGCCATTATATAGTGGTAATAATATTGTTTGAAACCACGATATCCACAATCGTTATGTCTACAATAACGGATGTTATAAAAATTTCACAACTAATATTATATATTATGTCTACGATACTTGCAATGACAGTAATATTATATATTATGTCCATAATAACATTAAACACAATACGATCGAATATACAAATACAAATTATAATTTAAAATCTTAATGAACATCTAATTTTTTATTCTCCTAATGCCACCACAGTCTCTACATTCTTGCATCACGGTAAAGTATCTTAAAATCATTGAATTGCATAATTAAATTGGATATATATCAAAATTATTACTATTGAGAGTGATCCCTATAATTTATTGCAAAAGTTGAACGATTGATTGAGACAATTGGGATGATTTTATAGGTAAACCTAAAACACATTGATAAGCTTGTGCCAAGTCACAATAGCATGATTTTGGGTCCTTTTTAGTTTATGGAAAATAACATAATTTTACTCCCACAACTACTTATACCCAAATTTAGTTTAATTTTGAAAACGATACAATCTTCTAAATGTGCCCATGTCCATTTAACTTTTAGGCACATTTATCAAATATGAAAATAAATAAACTTAGTTTTTCTCTCTAAATACGTACACTCAAATAATAGATAAATTATAATAAATTTTATCATTTAAGTTTCTTCTCACTTCTATTTTGATCATTAGATTCTATTTTTTAAAATTTATTCACCAACTTTTTTTTCTTAATTTGGTTGCTGAAATTTAATTTTTTTTATTTACTCATTGAACTTTCGATTTACTACCTTTTTATTTCTGAAAACTAATTTTTTAATTTATTCACTGAACTTTAGATTTACTACTATTTTAGTCACTCAAATGTTAAATCATAAATGAAATGATGACATGGCAACCACATGTACCTATATAGACTATCTTTTATTAAAATGGAATCCATGTGTCATTCATTTGCTTTCTTTTTAATTTTATTTATCCTTTTTCTAAAGATGAAACTTTTATAGTTTCATTCATGTGTCACGTTGATGCTGCAATTATCATTTTCTGAAGTCTTCTCCGACCACTCAAGATATCGATGAATTTGTCTCATTGTCTCTTATTATTTTACCAGTTTTAGATTTCACTTAAATCACTTTAAAACTCATAAAACTCAACTCTAAACCTAAAATTCATAAAACTCTAAAATACTCTGATCTATAATATCTATCATTCAATCAACATGGAATTAAGATATACAACTCCCTTCCTCCTTTTTCACCTCAGCACCTTTGAGTTTTGGAAGAAGATGATTTTTTTTGTCACAAGAAGAAGAAGATGATGATGTTTCACCATCAAAAACCAAAAGAAATTTGAAGTCAAGAGTTTTTTTCATATAAATAAATAAAGTTTTGGGGTCATTTCATAAATTTTAAAAGAAAAATGTCCAGCGATTAAGTATTTAAGAGAGAAGTGACGAAAATACAAGCAAGTTGAAAGATCAATGAGTGAACTCAAAATTTTTAAAATTCATACACTAAACACACTCAAAATACTTTAATTATTCATTTTTAAAATTTTATTTTACTTTTTAACTTGAAAAGGATATAATGATAAAGTGTGTATATACATTAATTTCTTTTGCCACTGCATATTAATAAAAAGTATTTATTTTCATTATCTACGATTAATGAATTATTTTACGCACACCCCTAAAAAATAATTACTTAATGTAGCAAACCTAGAGAAGCATTAGGGTAGGGGTGAACATTTGATCGAGTCGAGTCAAAAAAATTCGAGTTATTCAAGTTGACGAGTCGTATTTTACAACTCAAACTTAACTTGATTTTTTTCGAGTCGAGTTTAAGAAATTCGAGTCGAGTAATTTGAGTTGACTTATTCGAGTTTCTATACTAATTTTATTAGAATAATTTATAGTTTTAGGACAATGATTTGTTCCATTTTTTTTTACTTTCTCTAACCATATAAGATTTATATATATATATATATATATATATATAATACTTTTTTGCATTATAATGTTATTTGATATATCAAATACAATCTAAAATTATGAAATATATTCATAATATTATATTTTAAAGAAATTATTTTGAGGGTAAAATATTGATGAGAGTATAAAGGAGTCAAAGAATTGATGGGAAAAAGAATGTGCAAACAATTGTAGTCAAATGACCAAATTGAATAAAATATAAAGTTAAGGGACTAAATAAAAAATAGAGTACAATTTTAGCAAAAAGGTAATAATTGAATTTACATAGGTATTCTATTGTGGTATATGAGCATATAGTTCAAATTTGGTAAAAAAAACTTAAAATAAAAGATGAATTGAAGAAATAAAGAAAATATAAAAAATTAAGGTACTATATTGAAAAATAAAAAAGTGTTATAGAAAAGAGGAATTGAAAGTAAAAATGTATTATATAATGATTTATAAGCACGTGGTTCAAATTTGGTAAAAAATGGACTTAAAATGAAAGAAAAATTGAAGGAATACTTGAATTAGATATTAAATTGTAAAACTATCAAAATAATAATTTAAATTTTTGATTTTTCGAGTAACTCGAGATTTCAAAATTTTAACTCACTCGAACTCGAAAACCGAATTTATATTTCTGATTTTTCGAATCGAGTCGAATTTTACTCGACTTACGGGAAAGATAGAAAAGCAGGGTAGGCTTTGTTTCACAGAGATGTAATTTAATGATATTTAAAAACGGTAATGGAAATGTATTCTATTAGCATCACATGTTCATATTTATTTATGGATCTATATAGTCCATGTTACGCAATTCTAAAACTTAAGATTTTATAACGAGAAGATTTAGATTCAAATTAAAAAATTAAATTTATAAATAAGATAAGATTTATATTCCCAGAATTGGTTGTTTTCCTTCCTAATAGAACTTGGAGGGAAGGAAAGAGAAGAGGGTCCCAGATCTGATCTGATATTGAAGATTAATGGCATTATCGTAATTCATGCTCCAAAATTTTACAAAGAAAGAAAAAAAAAGAACAATTGAAAAAGACAACTTTCTGTTTTATTTATTTAAAAAAGAAAAATGAAAAAGCATTGCTATTTGCTTATAGGCTTCGTCAACTCTCCTCCCACTGTTTCTCTGTCTCTCTGATCCATCATCATCGTCTTCTTCTTCTTCTTTGATCCATCTCTCTAACAGCCACCCCTTTAAAACTCATCAATTCTTGGGACTTCCGTCGCTTTTTCAAGAAACCCAAATCGGAATTCACTTCCTTTGATAGCAAACCATAGTGGGATTCTAAAAAAAATTCACTATCCGGACCTTGAAAAGCCCCTTTTTCAATTGAAGCTTCGACCTTTTGTGAGTCCGAAGTGATTTTTTTAATAAAGGGTATTGTTTTTAAAGGAAATGAGGGATGTTTTCATGGTTGGCAAGGATAGCTTTCGCTTGTTGGGGACCAGTGAGTCGATATGCCCGTATGAACAAGGATAATAACAACAGCAGTAATAATGAGCTTGAAGAAGATTCTTCATCTTTACGTGATTCACTTCTTTGGTGTAGAGACCTTGAGAAACACTCTTATGGTGATTTCTCATTTGCTGTTGTTCAAGCCAATGAGATCATTGAAGATCATAGTCAAGTTGAGACCGGCAAAGATGCTACTTTTGTTGGTGTCTACGATGGACATGGCGGCCCTGATGCTTCTCGCTTTATCTCCGATCATCTCTTTCAAAACATAATTAGTAACTTCTCTTCTTCTTCTTCTTCTTCTTCGCTTGTCAATTTTCTTATTTCCTCTCTTCTTTCTATCTTTTAATTTTGCAAACGGTTTTTACTTTAGAGGACTGGTTTTTTTTTCCCTGTTGAATTTTTAATTGGTGCTAATTAATTATGTTGTGATTTCTGTGACTGGTGCGTTGGACTTTTGTGCTTTTTCTCTTCTTTTTTTTTTTTAAAAAAAAAATTGGATATTTTTCTTGTAATTTATATGAATTTTAAGCCATCTTGAAGCATTTTTTGTTTAGAATTTTCTTGATTGTTGTGTTTGTAGTAAATATATTTGCTTGTTTCCTTTTTCATATTTGTTCGAGCCTCACCGAGTTTAATATTTGTCTGATTGTCTGTTTTTCTTGGACTTTACTGATAAAATGATGCGATGCCACATTTGAGTTGGATATTATTTGGAATTCCAACTTGGTAAATGAAAATTTTGTTTCTAATATAAAATTGTTGTGGCTTCAAGTTGCAACAAACAAAGCAACTGAAAGTCGACTCTGAAAGCTCAATATCTGCTTAAATCAAGAGTATCAAATTTGATTCATCAGAATATACCTGGGACCGGATTTTCGTCATCAAAATGTCATAGGAGAAGCCTGATTTTCATTTTATTTTTCTAATTTCCTTTGATTGTGGACCTTGGTTTTTTATGATAACCAAAGAGAAAAGCGATAATGGAATAAGATTCCTTAGAATATGCTCATGTTTCTATAGTTGCTAGTTCTCTTTACTGCCTGGTGGACTGTTTGGATACGATTTGAACGTGATGATCGTGGCCTTCCTTTGGAATTACATGAACCATCTAGTTTGCATTGGATGCTTTTGTTGCTATGTAATTCATTTGATGTATCATTCAACAGGGTTTGCTCGAGCAGATGGAACCATCTCTGAAGATACACTTAAAAGTGCTTTCTCTGCCACCGAGGATGAGTTTCTGAATCTTGTACGTAGGTCGTGCGGAATAAAACCATTAATTGCAGCAATAGGATCTTGTTGTCTGGTTGGAGTTATATGGAGGGGAACGTTATACGTTGCTAATTTGGGCGATTCTCGAGTTGTAATCGGGTATTTAGGCAGATCGAACAAGATAGTTGCTGAGCAGTTGACTAGAGATCATAATGCAAGTATAGAGGAGGTGAGACAGGAACTCAGGTCATTGCATCCAGATGATTCTCATATTGTTGTTATGAAGCATGGAGTATGGCGTATTAAGGGCATCATTCAGGTATGGTTACTTTTCTTCATTATCATCTGATTTCCATGTTTTCTGCTATGATGTATGTGCTGTTATTTATGGGGACCACAATTAGGACACACAAACAAAAGAAGGTGTACTTTCTCTTTCTTTTTAATTGAATCTCTTTACATAAGCAAACTGAAGCATAATTTGCTTACTTAGTTTTAAGATTGTTTGCGATGATTACATCCATGAACAAGTAAGTTCAAGCTTTTTTTTTGTTTGCTCCTCTGATGGCGGCCTGCTTTTGTCCGAGAACAATGCACACACCCTACAGACACAACTCCGGAACCTCTAGGGAGAATGATACTCCCTTTTACCACTTAGATCACTTAATGGGTTCAGCTCAAGCTATCTTTATAATGTAACCCATTTGGGAAATACTCCACTTTTCTAGAACTCATTGTTTTGACTGCTATGGTACACTAAGCACATTCAGCAAGCTGCGTGCATTGTAGTTGATTTTTAATATGAACATTTATCTTCGAAAAGTCTGATTTCTCTTGATCCTCACTTGAAGGTCGATTTGATGTCAGTTTGCTTGCAACACATTTTGTGTTTTGACTTTTCTATGTTCTTTGTGTTTACATGTGAATTACTATGAACTGAGATCAGGTATCTAGATCTATAGGAGATGCATACTTGAAGCGGCCAGAGTTTTCTCTTGATCCTTCTTTCCCACGATTTCACCTTTCCGAGCCCATTCGTCGACCCGTGTTAACAGCTGAACCATCCTTGTGCACCAGAGTGTTACAATCAAGTGATAAGTTCCTCATTTTTGCGTCCGACGGACTTTGGGAACATTTGACAAATCAGCAGGCAGTCGAGATAGTTTATAAATATCCACGAGCAGTAAGTTCCATTTTCAGTGCATTGGCTTTTTACTATCGAACTTTTAAGTCCCTTATCTCGCTCTCCTGTTTCCTCCCCAAAAAATTATAGGGAATTGCAAGAAGGCTTGTTAAAACAGCATTAAGTGAGGCAGCAAGGAAAAGAGAGATGAGGTATGATGATCTTAAGAAGGTCGATAAAGGTATTCGACGGTTTTTCCATGATGATATTACGGTGGTTGTCATCTTCATAGACCATGAATTGTCTGGCACAAATATGTCTGTACCTGAGCTATCTATACGGGGATTCGTCGACACTATTGGACCATCAAACTTCAACATTCTTTGAGGTTTGATGATGAATATCAGCAAATACACGGGCCTTATCATTTGAATTAATATTGTCACTTGAAATAATTCCCCCCCCCCCAAAAAAAAACCTCCCAAACAACTGGTAGCTTTTTCTGAAGTTTTTTTTTTCCCAATTACCAAGCAACAATAAACTGAGCTGATTTTCATTATTGTCATTTACTTTTATATGCAACTTATGATGATAAACCTATAAGAGAAGCTCCTTGTTTTTCATGTTCTTTCAAGTAATACATTATTGGTATTAGGAATTAAGGATCCTCATACGATCTTAATTACTGTAACAAGAAACCAAACAGAATTCACAAGCTTTACTTTAACCAGCATGAAAGGCACATAATTATGGGACCAAATCCATATTGTTGATCCAATCAATCGCGGTAAATAAGCCAGGAATCTATTTTTTATTCAAAAATGAAAAAAAATCAAATTACCAAGACAACTGCAACTTTATTGAATGTCACTCAGTTGTAGTAGTAGACCTAACCCAAGATGTTCCCCTAATAAAAGTACACTTGGCTGATATCAAATGATCAACTATTCAAAACTTCTTGCCTCTGGATTCCAGAATTTGAAGTTTTACTATGGATTTTGGACTTTGAGTTCTCGGTTTTTCCTCTGATGTTTAGAGCACCCGAAAACCAGAACAGGGGTGTTGAGATCAGGATTGACAAGTAGCTACAATATCCGGTTAAACAAACATAAACACGAATGCACCTCGTAGTGATCGTCTGAGAGTACTAACAACTTAATTAACCGATGCTACATGTGTTAATCTATACATACTGCATCTCGTTTTGATCTAAAGATAAATTAAAGAAATTGCAATAGGAATGGTGTTTCAGATACGCGAGCAAGCAAACTATGGTAAATACAACATCAAGAAAATGCATGAACAGAAGCCAAAAGACTTAAAGGGCTAACAATGAAAGCAACTGCAGACACTTGATGAGCTTATTCCTGGATGATTAAAATTGAAATTCTTGTTCTTCTTTTCCTTCAAAGTTACACATCACCACAGTATATGCTATTTCACACCAAGAAAGTGTTATGGTAGAAGAAGAAGAGAGAAGAGGAAGCATCGAAGAAGAGAGACGAGGAAGCAGGAGCAATTGGGAAAGGGGGATCGAGGGTTAGGGATTGAAGATAGGATTGGGAATTAAATCACACGTGAGATGCACAGGAAACTTACACAGCAGAGGAGCAGGCCTGGAAGGGAATGGCGTGATGGAGCAGCCCAACACGAAGGCCCAGTATCTGATAAAAAATAGAAAGAGAAGAATCATTCTGTTAGATGGTTGTTATGACAATGGACAGCTGGCAGGAATTCTATGGCTTATGTAATTAAATAATACTAGGCTTGATTGTAAAAAGTTTTCTTAGAAAATGAATGATGCAAACTTCTTCTGAAATCTCTCAATTCTTCTTCTAAAACCTATTTTCTTTCGACATTCTTCTCTACAAAAATCCAGTCTATAACAAATTGGTATTCAGAGCCTCGATTCTGGCATGCCAAAGAAGAATCAAACTATGGCTGAAGCTGATTTATCAGGGTTGCAAAAGCAGATTGAAGAATTAACTGCTTTAGTTAAACAAGGACGGGATGAAACCAATCCACCCAAATGGTGGGAAAATCAAGAGAATCGAATCAATGCATTGGAGTCTAGAATGGAAACGAATCAGGGCTATGTGGAAGAGCTATTGAAGATATTGACAGGTAGAACTGGTAACCAAGTGCAATCTGTGGGTGAGCAGGTACAATCTCCTGATACTTCTAAAAATAAGGAAAAGACTCCTGTTATGGTGACTGTGCTGAATGACAAATCTAGGTTTACTTATAAAACTGATGAACCTGGGATATTAAAGTCTAAACCTGATGATTGTCTAGCCATTAAGAACAGTTATAGGCCTGAGAATCAAATGGGTGAAAATAGTGATTCTAGACCTATTATAGTGGGACTAGAAGCTGAAAAAAAGGGGCCAGGGAGTTCATTTAGTTCTGGGGTTATGTGGAATAGACCTAAAATAGAACTTCCTTTCTTTGAAGGGGTTAATCCGAGAGGGTGGGTGCAGAAGTGCCTGAAATACTTTTCTATTTGTGGGGTTCCTGTTGAGCAGAGAGTGGAACTAGCTACAATGTATTTAACAGGCAAGGCAGAAGTTTGGTTTGATGGTTACATTATGCAAAAACACCATGTGACATGGCATGAATTTGAAGCTGATCTTTGTCATAGATTCAGTGATAGAACTTTTTCTGATATTGTTGAGGAGTTCACTAAATTGACTCAGAAAGGGTCTGTGGAAGATTATCAAGAGAAGTTTGAGGAGTTACAACCTCATATGTTGTTGCAGAATCCTACTTTGACTGAGGAATTTTTGTGTCACTTTTTATTAGTGGACTTAGAGATGATATCAAGCATAGGGTCAAGGCTTTAGATCCTAAAAACTTATCTGAAGCATCTAAACAGGCCAAACTGTATGAACTGTCTGTGGAGTTTGAGAACAGAAGAGTGAGGTCTTCTTTTAAAAACCCACCCTACCCAAACCCCTTATATATATCTAAACCTACACTGCCAGTACCTACAAACCTACAGTAGTACCAAATCCAAAGCAAAATCTTATGGATTACAGAAGGCAAAATAACCTCTGCTTTAAATGTGGTGAAAAGTATTTGCCGGGCCATCAGTGTAAAACCAGGCAATTGAATATGATTACTGAAGAAGTTGATCCTTCTCTATTAGAGGTATGTCCTACTGATGCTGAGCATATTCAACAACAAGAAGAGGAAAATCTGGAAATTTCTATGAATGCTATTACTGGCTGCATTGGTCATAATACATTGAGAATACAGGGCAATATTCAGGGAAAACCATTGAATATCCTAATTGACAGTGGCAGTACACACAGTTTTTTAACTCCTACATGGGCTGATGCTGGCATACAGATTAATACTGCTTATCCTTTGGCTATTACTGTGGCTAATGGCCAACAGTTGTTCAGTTCTGCTAGATGCAACAAGGTTAAATGGGAAATGCAAGGACATACTTTTTCCCATGATTTTAGATTACTTAAATTGGGAGGCAGTGACATGGTATTGGGAGTTGATTGGATGAAGTTATTCAGTCCAATTTTGATGGACTTTAATAATATGACACTAAGTTTTGATCATGAAGGGGAACAGATTTGTATTCAGGGTCAACAAACCTCTACTGAATTATATCAAATATCAGGAGCTACTTTGCTTAAAATGAGTGCAAGGGATTCTGATATTATTGGTCATATTATCCTATTGACTATGACAGGACACTCTTCTTCTGTTCCTATAGAATTGCAACCTATATTGGATAAATACAGCAAGGTTTTGCTGAACCAGAAGGCCTACCTCCTCAGAGGTCACATGACCATGCAATTCCACTAATACCTACTGCCACACCTGTTAATCTACGGCCTTATAGATTTCCTCATAATCAGAAGACTGAAGTTGAAAAACAGATAGCTGCTATGCTTTCTTCTTCTGTCATTCAGCCAAGCAGGAGCCCTTTTGCCTCTCCCTGCCTTCTTATTAAAAAGAAGGATGGCACTTGGAGGTTTTGTGTTGACTACAGACAACTAAACAGTTTGACCATCAAAGATAAGTTTCCTATTCCTATAGTGGAAGACTTATTGGATGAGTTAAATGGGGCAGTTTACTTTTCTAAGATTGATTTGAGATCAGGTTATTGGCAGATCAGAATTAAACCAGAAGATATTTACAAAACTGCCTTTAGAACTCATCAAGGGCATTATGAGTTTAAGGTAATGCCTTTTGGCCTTACTAATGCACCTGCTACATTTCAGGCTCTCATGAATGAGTTGTTCAGTTCTTTTCTTAGAAAATTTGTTTTAGTCTTCTTTGATGATATTTTGATTTATAGCAGCAGTATGCAACAACATGTTGAACATTTGAGGCTTGTTTTGGAAGTTTTAAAGGTGAACCAATTATTTGCAAAGTTATCTAAGTGTTTTTTTGGCCAGACTACAGTGGAATATCTTGGTCATATTATCTCTGCTGCAGGAGTGTCTACTGATCCTAGCAAAGTGGAAGTTATGCAGAATTGGCCTCAGCCTAAAACCCTTAAATCTCTCAGAGGGTTTCTAGGTCTAACTGGATATTACAGAAGATTTATTAGGCACTATGGTATTATTAGCAAACCATTAACACAGATGTTAAAAAAGGATGGTTTTCACTGGAATTCTGCTGCTTACAGTGCTTTGAAGATCTTAAGAAGGCTATGTGTTCTGCTCCAGTTTTAGCATTGCCTGATTTTTCTAAAACATTTTATTTAGAAACAGATGCTAGCTCAGGAGGTGTAGGGGCTGTTTTATCTCAGGAAGGAAGACCTCTTGCTTATTTGAGTAAAGCTCTAAGCCCTAGACACTCAGCATTATCTATTTATGAAAGAGAATATCTTGCTATTCTCTTGGCTGTGTCTAAATGGAGGCATTATTTGGAGAGTGCAACATTTATTATTAAGACTGATCATGAGCCCCTAAAGTTTCTATTGGAGCAAAAGTTAACTACAACTATCCAAAAGAAAGGGTTGACAAAGTTATTGGGATTAGATTATACAATTCAGTATAGAAAGGGGAAATCAAATGTAGTTGCTGATGCTTTATCTAGAAGATGGGAGGATCAAGCTCAATGCTTGACTATGGGAGTGACAGTTTTGATACCTAGTTGGGTTCAGGAGATTGAAGAAAGCTATAAGAGTGACTCTTTAGCTCAGAATTGGATTTCAATTCTGACTATTACTCCTATGGCTGACAGTAAGTGGAAGTTTTCTAAGGCTGTTCTTAGATATGATGGGAGAGTTTATTGGATCTACTGGAAGCCTTAGATTACAGATTATACAATCTTTACATGACTCCTCAAGGGGGACACTCCGGGGCTCAGGCTACATATTATAAGATTAGGTCTAATTTTTATTGGCCAAATCTTAAATCTATGGTTGCTGCTTATGTTAGATGTTGCCAGACTTGCCAGCAAACTAAAGTGGAGCATTTAGCAAAGCCTGGTTTATTACAGCCA